GCGGGGGCCAGGGGCGACCGCGCCCTCAGCCGCGCGGCAGGAGACAGGGGGCGCCACCGGCCCGCGTCAGACGACATCAAAGACGGGGAAGGGCGTGCCGCCAAATCACCAAGGGGCAACCCCACGCGAGCGGAGAGCCGCGGGGTCTCCCTGGAGGGACGTCAGGATCGCTCAGCCACACTACGAGAATCTGAGCGACCCCATGGGATGCGGCCCCATGCACAGGTGCACCCTCGCAACTGCAGACGTGGAGAGGGGCGAGCCCATGCAGGACAATATTATACGCCTACAAAAGACGCTGGGAGGCGCATTCAATGGCATATGGCACGCATGGGTTAAGCGGGCTGCCCTGAGGCAGGACCCCAGTGGAGGCCGCAAGAGCAACCCCAAACTGAACACACCCCAGACGTGCGCATATTTTCTCGAGGCTTGGAGCAACGCAGGCCATAATGCTTGCCGGATGGACAGTGAACTCGGGTTCGGCGTAAATTGGGCAGCAGTCAGGGACAAGCACGTGAACTCCGCGCGCCGCGACGCCCGTGCGCACGCCCCGCGCGACTACGGCAGCAGCGACAAGCCCGCCCCATGGGCAACCGAAGGCAGAGCGGTCGCCCCCGCGGCTGCGCAGGGCCGCTGGGCTGGAGCCATCGGCGCAGCCACCCCCAGCCAGTGGCAGGGCTGGCAGGAATGTGAAGCCCCATGGGCGGACTCAGATTGAAAAGGAAGGGGCAAGCGGTGCCCCCCTAGGGGCGCGACCGATACTCGGACAAGCGCGCCCTCTGGTGGGCAAAAGACGACTCCTACACCCGAGGCTGACTGCGCCAGACACGGCCCGCCTCAGCATCACTGGTTTTCCCGCCCAAGGGAACCTATCCCCCCCCATCATCGGCTCCTCTTTGCCCCGAAGGGGCCAGTTTCACCTCGCCGCGCCCGGCTCGGGCCGCAATGCCTGGGGGCAACCTCCGCCGGGGCGCAGGCTAGCCCCGCATCTCACCCACGGCGCGGCATAGCTAGACAGCCCACACTGGACAAGTGGACCTGCCCTCCTTTTCGGGCCCGACGCGGAGGGTCTCCCCCCCGGCACCCGACATCTCACCCTCTCGGGCACGGCGGGACCGGCCCGGGCAGACAGGCCCCTGGCTCATGCACTTTGCTGTCCGATGACGACGGCCAACCCGCCCGCCGGAGGCGGGGGGTCGGCCACGTCGGCCACTGGACCCCCCCCTGCGCGGCGGCGGGCTCGACCTAGCCAAGTCGCAGTTTTGGCAAGTGCAGACTTCAGCGGCGGTTAGCTGCGACCCTGGAGGACCAACACCCACCATCCCCTCCGAGGCATCACTCTCCGCGGGGACGGGCCAACGTCCAGCGCGGCCTGGGGTCCACGCAGGGCCCCGCCCTTTCCCGGCTTCAAAACCTTCGAAGGGGCCACCCGCCATTTCATTGTCTTGAGCGGCGATCAGCTGCGACCCTGGAGGAACCAATAACCACTTCCCCTGTCCCACGGGTGCGGGGCCAGACCGAGGGGAGGGGCGGCGTTCCCCCCGCCTCCCCCCTCTGGGGCCAGGCGGGTGTCCCCCGCTCTTGGCCCCGGGGCCCGCCTGACGTACTGTCCGACATTGGTGTTGCCCCCCCCCCCCCTGGGCCGCCCGCGCCCCTCGCTGTGCGTGGCGTGATTTGTCTCATCGCTCTCAGCGGCGGTCAGCTGCGACCCTGGAGGATCACGTGGTGTTGGTTGACGTTCCAGGAGCTTGGGCGGAAGTGCCAGCGGCGGGCTGGGTCTGACTTTGCGTGCGATGGCCCTCGTGTCTACCACTGTGCAGCTCCCCCCAGGCTCATCGCCCTATGACAATGGCACGCCCCGCTCGCACTGGCGCCGCGTGCCCCGTGAGGTACAGCTCGACCTGTTCTCTTGGGGGCCCACCTGCTCTGGTCCTGTTTCGCCGTCACGACGCCACCACCTCCAGTGCAGCTCCCCTTGCTCTTCCTCGCTGGCGATTCTGACCGCGCCAGCGGGTTTCCCCCCACTCAGTGGCCCCGCCTCGCCGGCACGCGCTGCGTGGCTCACAGTCGCTCGGTTACCCCCATTGCACTGTGGGGTGATCTGACAGGGGCCGGCTTTGGTGCAGAGTGGTACAGCCTTCCGCAGCAGGTACAGCCCTACGGGCCCACCTTCAGCTTCCCCAGTTGCGTTGCACCGCGGCTCACGACTGCTCTGCCTTTCTGGCTAGCTCAGGTCGTCAGGGCGTTCGGAGCCTGGCGCCCCACTGGCGACTCACTCCAATGGCCTATGGCCTGTTACTTGCCATCACCCAGCACGACGGACTTGACCATCGCGGTCCCCGTCTCTTCTGTGTGGGTTGCGCCATGGCAACCTTTGAATTCCGAGACACTTTGTCCTGTGCGCGTGCTCGAGCTTGCAGGGCGCCGTCCGCCGTCAGCTCCACCCCCTCTCAGCTTCGCGGCTGCTGTCTGAGTGGGGCCGGCTTGCGCCTGTCTTAGCTAATTCGCCTAGTACGCGTCCCGGTTGTTGCTCTTGCCGCCTGACCGTCGTCTCGCGGCCGCGACCGAAAAAGTAACCCCACCAGCCCGTCCAGAGTCGATGCCCAGACGAGCTGCCCTGATCAGGGATGAGGAGGAACATGGAGTGGACTAGAATGCTGGGTAAGACGTCGTACCCAAAGAGGGGGAGGATGGAGGAGGACTCGGAGGAGGAGAAGGAGGAGGAGGAGGAGGAGGAGGAGGAGGAGGAGGAGGAGGAGGAGGAGGAGGAGCTGGAGGAAGAGGGAGGGGGAGGAGGGGAGGGGGAGGGGCAGGGGGAGGGGCAGGAGGAGGAGAAGGAGGAGGAGGAGGAGGAGGGGGAGGGCAAGCAAAACGGCCAGATACATTTTAGACGCCCCTCGAAGTCTCTTCGGATGTTTTTCCGAGAGCTTCTTGGAGGCTTTTGGGGCGTCTTGGGGGTCTATTGGCAGTCCTGGGGACCCCTTGGGGGGCATCTTGGGTGCCTCTGGGGGATCTCTCGGGTCCTCTTGGGGGTCTCTTGGGAGCCTTTCGGGGTCATCATGGGGGCCTCTAGGAATCCTCAGGGCCTCCTGGGCACCTCTTGGGGCCTTTTTGGGACATCCTTTGGAGCCCCGGGGGCCATATTTGAACAATCTTGGAGGAGATTGATCAAAGCGCGGGCCGTAGTAAATCAGCGTTGCCCCCCCCCAGGAGGCCGAAATGTAGCCGAAATCAATGATTTTGGCCTCTTCGCTGAGGCCAATCTGGACGCTCTAACTGCTCGCGAACCTCCCTCCAGACCCAGGAGTGAACCCCTCCCCGAAGGGGAAGAGGAAACGCTAAACCACTCACGCCCTGAAGGACTGGTGGGATTCTTGTCAGAACGCTCCCTAGGATAGGTCCGGATTGAGTTGTGACCCCTGATCATCGGCGGCAACGGCGACAACGGCGACAACGGCGCCAACGGCGTCAACGGCGCCAACGGCGACGGCGACGGCGACGGCGACGGCGGCGGCGGCGGCGACGACGACGACGAGGATGACGACGATGACGACGAGCCGAGGGAAGATCAAAGGAGGAAAAGGTACCGATACCGTTGCCCCATCATCGTTTCTGCTTTTGTGGGTCTCCCGGGAGGACCTCGTCGGCCAGATTCGCATCGAAATCATGGCCAGAGCGTTCCCCGGGACAGGCCCGTGGTGTCGTGGTAGGGGTATCTCTCTGATTCCCCAACGACTGCGGCGACGGCGACGGCGGCGTCGCTGGCGGCGGCGGCGGCGACGGTGGCGATGGCGATGACGACGGCCACGGCGACGACTCCAGGGAAGACACACGATGGCCATGACCACGATGCCGCGGGATCGTGTCGACGCAGATCTTGGTCATGGTCAGTGCCGACCGTCGCCGATCCGCGAGGATGATCCAGGGATTGACGATGACCAGGATGGACGATGACCGAGATCGGCACCGACGTTTTCGCGTTCAGTTTTGCTCATGCCAATTTTTCCATCCAATGATGGAGATGGGAGCGGCCTTCGCGTCGACCACGGCGGCGGCCACGACGGCCACGACGACGGCGGCGGCGGCCACGACGACGGCGCCGATGGCGACGAACACGGCCACGACGACTACGACGGCAGCGACGGCAGGCGGCGACGACGACCGCGACGGTGGTTGCCACGGTGGCGGTGGCGGCGACGAAAGAGGAGGCCGAGGAGGAGGAGGAGGAAGAGGAGGAGGAGGGTGTAGATGGGAAGGGCAGGAGGAAGAGGAGGAGGAGGAGGAGGAGGAGGAGGAGGAGGAGGAGGAGTATAGGACCAGGAGGAGAAGCAAAATGATGAGGTCTTCAGAAGTCTCTGGAGGACCCCTGTGGCTGCCAAAGGCCCTCGGAGGCCTCCAGAAGTTTGTGAATGGCCCCACAGACCCCGAAAGTGCGTCAAACATCGTCGATCCCCCTCCTCGCACCCTTTCCCCCCCTCCCCCCCACTCCTCCTCCTCCTCCTCCTCCTCCTCCCTCCTCCTCCTCCTCCTCCTCCTCCTCCTCCTCCTCTCTCCCTCCTCCTCCTCCTCCTCCTCCTCCTCCTCCTCCTCCTCCTCGTCGTTCTCTTCGTCCTCCCCTCTTCTTCTTCCCTCCTCGATCCTCGCTTCCCCCTTGCCTCCTCCCACGCGGCGCCCCTTCCGCCAGGCAGAGCGACGACGGCAGTAGTGCTGCCGACAGGGCGACGACGACGACGACGATAACCCGACGCACGCGGCGGTGGCGGCCTGCAACGATGCGCCGACCCTGCTGCCTCAACCCCCTTCTCCCCTGTTGTCGCCACTCCGCCTCCCTTCTTGATCTCTCGGCCCTCGGTCACCGCTCCTCCCTCCTACTCCCGCCTCTCCTCGGCAGCGACGGCAGCGATGACGACGACGACCGAGGCGACGGCACTGGCGGCGACGACGGCGGCAACGATGGCAGCGGCGGCGGCGGCGGCGGCGTCGGCGGAAGCTCGGGCGAGGCGGCGCCCTTGCCGCCCGCCGCGCTCTCCCTGAGCAGCGCGCTGCCGCCACGGGGGCCCCCGCAGGGGCCGCCAGGCGCCGGCGCAGGCGGCCGCGGACCGTCGCCGCTGGCGACAGCGGCGGCAAAGGCGACGTCGCCGGCGTTTGTGGAGGTCCTCGTCCCCGCGCCTGGGCACGGTGTTTGTGGAGCTAGCCAGGGAGGACCCTTGGAGGGGTCTGGCGGCCAGGTCTGAGCGGAGTTTGGTTGGACAGCCGCAGCAGCGGCGACGACGATGCCGTCATCGCCCACACACCACTCGAGTTCCCTCGTGCGCGCACTCAGGCGCACGATTGCGCGGGCACTGGAGCACTGCCGCGCTGTTCCCCAGGATGGGCCCCGGCAGGGATCGGTGTAGGCGTGCAGCTGACGTCCGCCGAGCCTGGGCACTGTGAAAGCAAACCAGAGGAGGAGGAGGAGGACGAGGAGGAGGAGGAGGAGGAGGAGGAGGAGGAGGAGGAGGAGGACGAGGGTGCAAGTGGGAAGGGGAGGAGGAGGAGGAGGAGGAGGGAGGAGGAGGAGGAGGAGAGGAGGAGGAGGGAGGAGGACGAGGATGAGGACGAGGGAGGGAGGAGGAGGAGCAGGAGGAGGAGGAGGAGCAGGAGGAGGAGAGGAGGAGGAGGAGCAGGAGGAGGAGGAGGAGGAGGAGGGAGGAGGGGGAGGAGGGGGAGCAGGAGGAGGGGTCGACCGCGCAGGCATTCGCTCGCGCGCAG